CAGAAGATCTCCGACGTGCTGATGAAGAAGGGGAAGATCTCAGAGGTCGAGCGCTGTACTATCTTCATCGGACACTTGTCCAAAGGCAGGCAGAAAAGTATACTAAGAGATCTTCCGCGCGACAGGCTTGATTTCCCAGAAGTCCTAAAGCTCGCGATAAAGGCAGAGGCAGACGATTACAAGGACTTGGTGTGGAGAGGGATGAGGAGACGTGACTTCTCTCTCTACAAGGAGTATGCCACGGATAGATGTCCTGATTTCAAGGACTATCCCTGGTCAGAGAAGAACTATCCCTGGTCGGAGAAGAATGAGGCCGTGGCTGAGGAAGTGAAAGAGATACGAAACATGGTGCAGGGATTGACGAGACAGGTTACAGAGATTGTGTCCACTACAGCGGCCACGGCCTACCGGGACAAACCTGGAGGGCCCTATTCACTTCGCTGGGACCGTAGGAACAACGATTCCTGGAGGAGTGTCGATGATAGAAATCCTCGGACGCTGACTGATTATTGTACGATGGGAAGAGAGAGAGACGATGAACCATGGCGACTTAGGGATGATGAGATAGACCGAGACCGCAGAGATCGCGAGCCGTTTGAGCGAGCAAGGAGGCTGGATAATTACCCACGAAGCCCTCGCTATGAGGCCGATCGGGATAGAGGCGACTCACGCGGCCGATGGGAGACAGATCAGGGCCGACGAGATGGATATAGGGACGACAGATACGAGAGATCGGACAGAGATGGATATAGGGACGACAAATATGAGAGATCGGACCGAGACGGATATAGGGACGACAGATACGAGAGGTCGGGTCGAGATGGCTACAGAGGTGATAGGTATGAAAGAGGAGATCGGGACTGGGAACGACGAGATGGGTCGCGTGGACGGTTTGAGCGCGGGGGAGATGCGAGAGAGCAGCGCGACGAGTCGTTCGGGTGGTACAACCGAGGGGACCGACGCGATGAGTCACAAGGGCGATATGACTCAGGGGACCGCCGGGATAATTCGCGAAGGCAGTATGAGCAAGGAGGGTCTGGAGGAGACCGCCGCAACGATTCGAGCGGTTGGAATGAGAGAGTGGGATATGGCGTCTCATCATAATCATATCCCAAGTCGCCTGACCCCAAGGCAGCCAGGAGTTCGATCTCGAGAAGCGCAGACGACAGACCATCTACTCCCAGGAACTCATGCGTTTACTGTAGAGAAGAAGATCATATCAAGAGGGATTGCCCGGACCTCAAACGGGCAATAGATGAGGGACTTGTCGTGCTTGACGACCGCAAGTACGTCAATTGGGCAGATGGTCTGGGAGATGTATCGATGTTCTCTTCGATGAAGGAGAATGTCGAAGCGAGGAAAGTAAAGCCAAGTAAAGAAAAGGAGTCGGTCAGGAGCCAGAGCATCAAGATAACCTTTGAGGGGGATATGGCGACCACACCCATAAGGGTGGCAGCCACCAAGTCAGCGAGAGGGTCTACATCGAAGAAGACTGACACGGATTACGTGATGRCGGAGAAGGACRGGCAGCGGGTCGATGGAGAGGAGSTTATCCTTTCGCCGCGAAAGCGGGGAGTGAAGAAGTTCTTAATGAAGAGTTCGCTGGACGAGATTGACACGGTCGAGCCACTGAGGCGGGCCCTTCGGCAACCCATGCAGTGCTCTATTCTGGAGTACCTGGCGGCATCGAAGCCGGCTCGTGATGAGTTACAGATGATCACGCGGAAGACTCGCATGCCTCTATCGGAGGAGGTCAGGGGGCCTCTAAGGCGGACGCTTCTACAATAGCAGTAACGGGGGTGACTGCCAGAGCGGAACGCATGGCGACAGTCCTTCTCGATGGAATGAAAGGTGTGCCTCCAGACAAGTTTTATATACTTGGTAGTGGGGTCGTGGAGACGATTATAAATGATGGAGCGGTACTCGATGTTAACGGCAGTGAGGCTGTCATCATAGACGAGGAACTGGCAGTACAGGTTGGACTAGGCCTCGATAGGTCATATCTATTCGAGATAGAGACGGCTGATGGGAGAAAGCAACAGATCACTGGGGTTTGTCACAAGGCAGCCATAGAGGTYCRAGRGRTAMGAGTGMCYCTGCCTGTCTTTGCAGTCAAGAACTGCAGCTCCGACCTGCTCTTGGGTCGAACGTGGCTGAGCCACGTGCATGCGGTGGCGATAGAGCGACCTGATGGGAGCCAAACATTGTCCATTAGGAAGCCAGACGGGACGCGGGTAATGATTGAGTCAGTGGAGCCTCGGGACCCGAGGAACAGAGCAGCTCTCGCTGTGGGTGCGAGACCCAGTGAACAGATTAAGTCGTTACCTATCTCCGGCCGCGCGGTGCGATTTCGCGAGAAGAAATATGGACCACTGCTGACAGAGGAAGAAGGTCAGATCGTGGAGGTGGAGGATTTAGAGGGTCGGCTAATAGTGGACGGCAACTCGTACCCAAAAAAAAAAGATGAGGAATTTGGCGGTGTGGTATTCGTGTCTTTTTTAAGGGCACGGCCGCCTATGGGGGGCTACCCAAGCGACGCAAGCGAGTAGCTCAAAAAGTTAAGCCAGCGGCGGTGGGCCGCGAGCGATCTGCACTGGAAGGGATATCGGAAGAAGAGATCGCGAAAGAAATCAAAGAAAGAAAGAAAAAGGAGCCACAACGCCTAACGGAAGAGAGGATAACAGGGATGGACATCGGAGATGGAAATCTGACCCCACAGGAGCGAGAACGTGTGATACAAATTCTGAAGACATGTGATAAGGCAATAACTTTCAGCGACGCGGAGCGCGATAGGATTGACCCTCGATACGCCAAGCCAGCGAGGATTTACAGGATTCCACAT